AAAGAAAAACAAAAAGTCGGCTGATTCGATTCGATTCCTGTTTCGTTTTCTAACCTACTACCACTCCGCCAACCGTTTCTAGCCTACTACCACTTTCTTAGTCTTAAAAGTCCGGTTTTAAGGTCTATGTGTTTGATTTTTAAAATCCTTACAAAACTTTAAATGCGTATAACTTTTGATAGAGTGCAATTTAGCAAAAACGGAAGGCAGATTCGGATTCAGCGGGAAATACTGCGTCAAATGATCAATGGATCATGTCATTTGACCACCACATCCGGTTGATCTTCCCTAGTAAATTAATTCTGTTCTCTTTTTAAACTTATCCATGAAAAAATGCATGATCAGCGGGAAATTCTACGTCAAATGATCAATAGATCATGTCATTTGGCTAGCCTTGTCAGTCAGCAAGAAAAAAGCAAACATTGTTTGGCGCTAAATCTAGTGAAATGCGTTTCACCGATCCGTTGAATTTTGCAAAATGGAAGTTGACTAAATTTAGCAGTTGGTGGACTTGCTCGAGAAAACTTTCGGCTCGGATTGACCGGAGCTACCGCTGGACTCGCCGGTGGATTGACTGGTGCTCTCGGTGGACTCACTGGAGCCGCTACGGGAATCGCTGATGGATTGAAACTTCACCGGTTTTTGATTCAAATGTGCTTTGAAGCTGAATTACTAGATCTGATAGGAACAAAGATTCTCCGTTTTTGGGTTAATGGAATTTTAAAGCCATTTCCGGTGCTTAGAGCATCTGCCTGGTAAGCAACAAGTCGGCTCCAAATTCCCCCTCGGCTCCAAATTCTTTCTCATTCATTTCTTTATTCGATTACAAAATGCTAAAACTAAATTCAATCGCTAATATTGCTAGAGACAAGTGATATTATTGACTGAAACAGCTTTGGAATCGACTGAAACAGAGGTTTGAAAACTCACGATGATTGCTTAAAATCTATTGGGTTGGTGAACTGAAAACTCCGGGCTATTGTCATATCTGACAGTTTGAGCACTTTCTTCAAAAGAAACCCATTTTGGTGTCAATGGAAAAGTTGTAGAGAATCAAAAATTAAGCTTATATCCAAATTTTCAGAACGATTCAAAAACTGGGTTTCAAGAAATGCCAAATTTACACAAAATAAATGCCAAAATTACACAAAACTTGCATTTTAAGCGAAACTACTAAGTGTATCTTTTTGGAAATTTTGCTATAAGCCTAATTTTTGATTCTCTACAACTTTTCTATTGACACCAAAATGGGTTTCTTTTGAAGAAAGTGCTCAAAATGGGCTGACGGCTGACATCTCCAGTCCTCCATTTTTGAGTCTCACACTTGTCTCACACACAAACCAAAATCCTACTACGAAAGAGGAATCCGCAAATTGCCTTTAAAATGGGCAGAAGTCGTCAATAATAATGGCAATTATTTGGAATGAATTGATCGTTTTATGTTGAACCAATAGCTAACATCGAGGTCTGCCCACACCTTCTGTAGAGATTTCTTCAAAGGCTTGATTCAAAGTCCTGCAGTTTTCAATTTAACAACCCAATAGTTTTGGATTCAGTTATGGATCAGATTCGGCTACAGATTCGGCTCCTTTTCGGTACAGATTTGGTTTCTTTTCTCTACAGATTTGGTTCCTTTTCGGTAAAGCTTTGGTTCCGGTTCGCTACAGATTTGGTTCTTTGCAAAATAAATAGCCTTGTTTGGGAACTTTTGACGGATTCCCCATACAGTCCGGACCTCGCCCCTTTTGATTACTATTTATTCCGGATCATGAGTAATGAGCTTGCGGGAGAACACTTCGATTCAGAAGAAGCAGTCAAAAATTGGCTTTGAAAGTTTTTCGATTCAAAACCAAAATCCTACTACGAAAGAGGAATCCGCAAATTGCTTGTAAAATGGGCAGAAGTTGTCAATAATAATGGAAATTATTTGGAATGAATTTCTGGTTTTATGTTGGATAAATTTTAGTTCAAAGTCCCGTTCAAAGTCCCGTTCAAAGTCCAGTTTTCAATTCACCAACCCATTATATAAATTCTATATAAAACTAATAATTTAAAGCCTTTTTTAGCCCTTAAAACCTTAAAATGTTTAATAAATTTGATTTAAACGGTTTAAATTTGCTTTAAACATCTATTAAAAGAAAAATGATCACAAAAATCGACCAACGAAATCAGGGAAATGAATTTTTTTGCACGGGGAACTCGCTGATCGTGAAAATTTTGAATTTTGTTTTTAAAAACAGTGAAACTCGTTTAATATTCGTGTCGCTTTTCTTGTTATCAATTATTCTTTTACCCTAAATACTATATCGAAACAGTGGAACGAACGGAGAAATGAAAAAAAGTGGTGTTCTTGGAGAAAATCGAGTATAAAAGATGCCTTGGATCATCAAAAAATCATAACTTTTGCTTGTTTTTATATTATCTTTGTTGATTTTCAAGAACTTGCATATTATTGGATGGATTAATACTTTTATAATACATTACATTCATTTCAAACACCTGATACATTCAAACATCTGATACATTAAAGACAATGAATCCTTCAATCTCCAGTCTTCAGTTGAATGCTGTATCTCCCAGTACAGAATTGACAGTAGATTCAGAGCTAGCTGGTCCAAGCTAGATTAAGATTAGGCCTAGATCTGGGCTCTATTCAACCCACGAACTTTTACGGACAAATCTAGAGCTGGCTAGACAAATCTAGAGCTGGCTAGACAAATCTAGAGCTAGCTAGACAAATCTAGAGCTGGCTAGACAAATCTAGAGCTGGCTAGACAAATCTAGAGCTGGCTAGACAAATCTAGAGTTGGCTAGACATTACTATTACTGCTTACAGTTTCTTTAACTATTCTGATACAATCATTTGTCTTTCGATTCATTGTTGTGATTTGATTTCCGTTCTTTGATTTTACAAACTTTTAAATACCAAGATTTAGGCGGGTAATAATGGTTTCCTTCCGAGTCGCCATTCTTCTCTTCGCTTGCTTTTCTGCTGGTTTCTGCAGGTTGGTGAACTATGAATTAATTTGAATTAACTATCGTTTTAGGAGTCCAGATGTGCACATAGTGAGAGCCAAACGATTGGATTTGGGATTAGGAGGTGAGTACTTAAAGATGACTCTAGGCTTTAGGCTAAAACTCTAGGCTAAAAAATCAATTTCACAAGATTGTTGGACGCTTCGCCTTTTTGCCATTGGCAATCTAACTTTAAGCTCAAATTTCTTGATGTTGGGCTGTCCAAATGAAATAGTTTTTGTACCAATCGATAGAGAAAGACTTGGCGCATCTAATGATATAAAGAATACTTAAATTGAACAGCTCAACGCTAAGAAATTTGAGCTTAAAGTTAGATTGCTAATGGCAAAGGGGCGAGGCACATATCAAATGTCCAACAACAATTTCAGGACTCACTGGAGCTCTTGGAGGCCTCACTGGATCGGCTGCTGGAATCCTCGGTGGTGTGACTGGAGCTGCTGGTGGTGCCCTTGGAGCAACAGCTGGATTGGCTGGTGGACTTGCTGGAGCGGCTGGCGGATTGACCGGAGCTACTGCTGGAATCGCCGGTGGATTGACTGGTGCTCTCGGTGGACTCACTGGAGCCGCTACGGGAATTGCTGGTGGATTGGCTGGAGCCGCAGGAGGAGCCCTTGGAGCCGCTACTGGAATCGCTGGTGGACTTGCTGGAGCAGCTGGTGGAGCTGTGGGAGCCGCTGCCGGACTTGCTGGGGAGCTGCTGGACTCGTCGGAGGAGCTGTCGGAGCAGCTAGTGGAATCGCTGGTGGACTTGCTGGAGCCGCGGGAGGAGCTGTGGAGCCGCTGCCGGACTTGCTGGTGGAGCTGCTGGACTCGCTGGAGGAGCTGTTGGAGCCACGGCTGGATTGGCCGGTGGACTTGCTGGAGCCGCGGGAGGAGCTGTGGGAGCAGCTGCCGGACTTGCTGGTGGAGCTGCTGGACTCGCTGGAGGAGCTGTTGGAGCCACGGCTGGATTGGCCGGTGGATTGGCTGGAGCCGCCGGAGGAGCTGTTGGGGCCACAGCTGGATTAGCCGGAGGATTGGCTGGAGCCGCTGGAGGAGCTGTTGGAGCCGCCGCCGGAAAATAAATATCCTAGTGTATGATTCATGTAATTATTTCTATGTAATAAAGAATTCTAAGTCTTTAAAAATCGAAAAGAGCTGATAAGAGCGGACATGAATGGGACGATTTTTAGCTGAAATTTTAGCTGACATCTTTCATTTCACAAACACTGATAACATTCTATTCTCAGAAACTATTCTTAGAGGCAGTTGCCGGAAATTTCTTTTAGTCGAATTGAAGTGATAAAGGGTTTTGTTTTTTTGAATAGAAAAATGTCAACAAAGACATTGTTTGATCAAATAATTTAGCCTAAATAGAGTCATAAAGTACTTTGTTTTTGTATAAAAGGATAAAGAATGTGAACAAAGACATTTGTTCGATCAAAAATCTTCCCAAACTCAATGCACTTCACAAAGTCAGCTCTCATCTTTTTGTTGATTGGTAAATTGTTCGAATGTGTCACTTGAAAAAGGGTTTTTTCAGCATTTAGTCAAACTTTCTCGCAAGAAACGAATAAATGCAGGGTTCTGTTCTATCTTGATGCTACAATCTATGTAAACGTGAGTAAAATGAATGTTCTCATTGAGAACTGCTTGGGAATCAGTTCGAATATAGTATTTTGAGCTGTCAAACAGTTCGAATACAGTATTTTGAGCTGTCAAACAGTTCGAATACAGTATTTTGAGCTGTCAAACAGTTCAAATACAGTATTCTGAACTGTTAATCAGTTCAAATACAGTATTTTGAGCTGTGAATCGGTTCAAATAGTATTTTGAGCTGTGAATCAGTTCAAATACAGTATTCTGAACTGTTAATCAGTTCAAATACAGTATTTTATAAAGTTTTCATTTGTGGCTTTTCATTTTAGAGCTCTTTCTCGGCACAAAGAAATCTTGCGAGTACAATTGCGAAAAACTTTTTCCAAATGACGTCACTCAACTCGAGTGCTAGTTTGGCTGCTTATGGATCGGTTTGTGTCTAAATTTACTCCATAACCTTTTCCGAACAGGTAAAGTGCGCCTAAGCCACCGGAACCGGTACCATAATCACTAAACTTTTAACTAAAACATTTGTCGGTCTTTTTTATCGTTGATAAAAGGTTTTTCGTGTTTTTCTCAGCACCAACTTTTCTATTTTGACTCTTTTGACTCATTCATTCGATGCAGAATGCAATTTCGCGTCGAATGATACCAAAATTAACTCAAAATATAATATCCATGCAAAGTTATGAGGCAAAAGGTCAAGTCCCGCGCATCATGGGCGGGGTTCAGGTTTTTAGCCAACAACTTTGCATGGATATTATATTTTGAGTTAATTTTGGTATCATTCGACGCGTAATTTTATTCTGCATCGAATGATAGTCAAAAGAGTCAAAATCGAAAGATTGGTGTTGAGAAAAACACGAAAAACCTTTTGCCAACGGTAAAAAGAACCAATAGATGTTCTTGTTCAAAGTCTAGTAACCACCGTAGATCTTACCATATCTAGAGTTGTATTTTTTCTAGTTAATGAAGCTAATGTTGTCTTTGCGGCGATAGTACTACCCGGGTTGCTGTCTATTAATTGAGTTAGGATTACGGTGGCTTAGCTGCACCGAGTCTTGCGAATTTTAATTCTAGAGATAACTTTTAAAACAAGCTTTTAAAACTACCAAAAACTCAATTTCAGTACCTTTTCGGAGATCCCGATCCAGCCGCTTTGTACTCAGAGTTTCCCGATTTTCTCAGTGCTCTTACCGCGCTCACGAATGGTGTTCCAGAAAATTTAACAATTTCTGAGTAAGTAACTAATCTGAAAAGCTCAAAATTCAGCTAATTCAGCTAATGTACAAACAATTTTAGTGCAATTGCGGCTATGGAAGCTGAAGATGGGTTTAAGAGTGTGATCACTGTGCTTTTTACTAACAGGTGGCTTAGTTTTAACGAGTTTTATTGGATTGCTAATTCATTTCAGCTAATTCAGCTAATTCAGTATTTCAGTTTTGTCTAATTTTCTGCATATTACGCTACTCACTAGAGTGTGTTCCTTCCGAGTAATTGCTTTCAAAAAAATTTGATTGCCTTGGTCTGGCCAATTCATTCTTTGTGCTCGCTCGCTGGCATACTCATAAATCGTCATTTTTTCTAGAAAGCTAGCGAGTAAAGCTAGCGAGTAAATTACTCGAGTAAAATTTTCATGAGTACTCGATTTTACTCGATTAATCGACCTTTTTCGCCGAGTAACTACGAGTAATCCTCTTTACACGCCGAGTAACTACGAGTAATCCTCTTTACACGCCGAGTAACTACGAGTAATCCTCTTTACACGCCGAGTAGCTACGAGTAATCCTCTTTACACGCCGAGTAACTACGAGTAATCCTCTTTACACGCCGAGTAACTACGAGTAATCCTCTTTACACGCCGAGTAGCTACGAGTAATCCTCTTTACACGCCGAGTAACTACGAGTAATCCTCTTTACACGCCGAGTAACTACAAGTAATCCTCTTTACACGCCGAGTAACTACGAGTAATCCTCTTTACACGCCGAGTAACTACGAGTAATCCTCTTTACACGCCGAGTAGCTACGAGTAATCCTCTTTACACGCCGAGTAACTACGAGTAATCCTCTTTACACGCCGAGTAACTACAAGTAATCCTCTTTACACGCCGAGTAACTACGAGTAATCCTCTTTACACGCCGAGTAACTACGAGTAATCCTCTTTACACGCCGAGTAACTACGAGTAATCCTCTTTACACGCCGAGTAACTACGAGTAATCCTCTTTACACGCCGAGTAACTACGAGTAATCCTCTTTACACGCCGAGTAACTACGAGTAATCCTCTTTACACGCCGAGTAGCTACGAGTAATCCTCTTTACACGCCGAGTAACTACGAGTAATCCTCTTTACACGCCGAGTAACTACAAGTAATCCTCTTTACACGCCGAGTAACTACGAGTAATCCTCTTTACACGCCGAGTAACTACGAGTAATCCTCTTTACACGCCGAGTAGCTACGAGTAATCCTCTTTACACGCCGAGTAACTACGAGTAATCCTCTTTACACGCCGAGTAAATTAAATATCTTCACATTTGAAGAGAATTTGCCACCAAACCAGTTAAGCAGTTGAATATCTTTAAAGGAAATCGTATATAAGGCAGCGCTCGTGATTTTTTGCGTTAATTTTTTGCAATAATTTTCGCCAAAAGTACGACAATTTTTCCTAAGTATGCGTTTTAAAAAAAAACGTATTACTTGCGAGGAACACACTCTAGTCTAGTACTAGACAGTCTAGAACACACTCTAGTACTAGTCTAACTTTTACTTCTAGTCTAACTTTTAGTCCACAAATCATCATCGATTCAACAAAGATCAAAAATAATTGCATCAATCAAACGATTGGAGTTGGATTAAACGGTGAAATAAGCTTTTTAAGCTTTAAAAAAATGAAAAACACTTGAGAATCTTGTGAAAAAACGGTTAAATAGGCAAATTTTCAGGTCAAAATCTCAATGAATACGCCACTTTCTCATTTAACGATCTCAAAAGAGCACAAGAAACGATACCCGGATTGATTTCTGCTCTTTGCGCAAAAAATCTATAAATTTATCGGTTTTTCTTTGATTTCCAGTGGGTAATCTACCAAGATTAAAGTTAAAATTTGTTTTTTTTATTGATTGTTTCACATAGCTTCCTTACAATTCTCTTGAAAGACTTACAAAGAGGCGATTTGCCCGAAATTTGTTCTACCGCGACTCACTTCTGCAGGTCTAACTCAGCGAGAACTCAATGAATTTGTAGGAAATTTTTGGAGATCAATTTTAAGTATGTTTCCTATAGTTTGGGGTGCGAAACCGCTTTAACCTTATCAAAGCAAAGTCATCGGGGATGACTTTGCTGCAGAAAAGCCGACTAGCACAAAAAGGTTAAAAGGGTTTCCCCAAAACGCTTACAACATAACAAGAAAACGCAGATATGGTTCCAATATGGTTCGGATATGGTTCGGATACGGCTCCAATACGGTTCCAATACGGTTCCAATACGGTTCCAATAGGGTTCCAATACGGATCCAATACGGTTCCCATACGGTTCCAATACGGTTCCAATAGGGTTCTAATACGGTTCCAATACGGTTCCAATACGGTTCCAATACGGTTCCAATACGGTTCCAATAAGGTTCCAATACGGTTCCAATACGGTTCCAATAGGGTTCGGATACGGTTCCAATATGGTTCCAATATGGTTCCAACATGGTTCGGATACGGTTCCAATATGGTACGGATACGGTTCCAATATGGTTCCAATATGGTTCGGATACGGTTCCAATATGGTTCCAATATGGTTCCAATATGGTTCGGATATGATTCCAATATGGTTCAACATAACAAGAACATAACAAGAAAACGCAGAATCCAACATAAGGTTAATACTCGTGATAAGAGTACAGAACGGATTGATACTTCGTCGATGGCGACACAAATATTTGTATGTTCTTTCTACAGTGTTAAACCAGTTATCTAAACAGGATTTAAAATCTGAAGGGTAGCATAAAGTAAATTGAATTGAATTACTGTTTATTAGTACAGAACCAAAAATGCAACGATACCCATTACAAAAACAGCACGTGTATAAATAGAAACATCAAATCCTGAAAGAACGAAGGCAAAACCCCAAGCCTAAAGGGGCGAGAAGCTACACCAAAAATTCTATTCAAAAAACAAACAAAAAAACAATTTGGGAAAGAGAGTGAGACGAAAATGCGACGCGAATAATTGCAAAATAGGAACGCAAAAAGGAAGGAAACGGATGCGAACAAAGGAACCAATTTGTTTTAGGGATCAAATGCTGAGAAACTGGGTCTCGATCAATGAAAATTGGCTCATTAGAATTGCTGACATGATCACCGCGCTTCTAAAAAGGCATCTAAAAATTCCACAGATCACTATGGTTTAAATGAACTTTCAGTAAATTCTCTAATTCTTATGAATAGAAACATCAAAACTTGAAAGAACGAAGGCAAAAGCCCAAGCCTAAAGGGGCGAGAAGCTACACCAAAAATTCTATTCAAAAAACAAACAAAAACAAGTTGGGGAAGAGAGTGAGACGAAAATGCGACGCAAATTCAATGCAAATAGGACCGGAAATAGGAAGGGAACGGACGCGACCAATAAAAAACTTTTCCTAAAACCATCTTCTTTCGAGATAAAATGAGCAGTTATAATCTAAATTCTTTTTCAAAACAAAAAAACTTGTAAAGAGTAAAGAGTAGTCGCTGTTCTGACTGGAACTGATGAGGGAGAAGTTGTAGATTTTTTTAGGACATCTTTCGTCCAAAAAAATAATAGAAAATTTTTATGTACCTCTTTATTGCACAAGCTCGCACGTATTAACCTTTTTCTCGTAATTGTCTTCAAATCTTTGACTTCTTTTGCAATCGTCTTGCACATTTCATTAAAATTTTTATTTTCAACCAAAAAAACACCACAAACATTCACTAAAAGATTTATCAATTATTCTAAATAGGATTTAGAACCTTAAGGGTAGTGTAAAGTAAATCGGATTTATAATTTTATGGTTTATTAGTACAGAACCAAAAAGCAACGATACCAAAAACAGCATGCGCATGAATAGAAACATCAAATCCTGAAAGAACGAAGGCAAAACCCCAAGCCCAAAGGGGCGAGAAGCTACACCAAAAATTCTATTCAAAAAACAAACAAAAAAACAATTTGGCGAAGAGAGTGAGACGAAAATGCGACGCGAATAATTGCAAAATAGAAACGCAAAAAGGAAACGCAAAAAGGAAGGAAACGGATGCGACCCTATAGCCAAGCCAATTTTCTAACTCATTGACGCTTCTATTAGGGTGGTGCAAAAGAAACTGCCGATGGGTATCAGCTCTCATTTATCAGAAACGAGCGATGCTGACGGTATTACTTTTTTATGGTTTGTTCGCATATTTGTTTGCTATTTATTTCGACATTTGAATTTTTTGGTTTTTGTTTATTTTATTTTAAAATGCTTATATTTTTTATTTAGATCATGGTCGAGCAAAAGATTACGAGCAGCATTACTGTTTAACTTCAAAATTGGAAAGTCTGCTGCCAAATCGCATCGTTCTCTCTGTGCTGCTTTTGGAGATGGCAGTTTGTCTCTCAGGCAGTGTCAGACTTGGTTTCAACAATCCCGAGAGGGAGACGAGACTTTGGAAGATTACGAGCACGGTTCGAGGCCAGAAGTCGTGAAAGAAGCCAAGCTGAGGGACGATTCAGGCCGATCCATGCCAATCTGCTCGAGATCTTGCGAAAATATTCCATTGTGATCATATCACCATCGAACGCCATCTTCACGCTATTGGATAGAAAAGTCGTTGTGGAATATGGGTTCCTCATCAACTCAGTGATGCTAACCTCGCATCCCGCATTTCCATCGCTGGCATTCTCCTGAATCGCGCAAAGAAGATGTGAAAGATAGGTTCCTCATCAACAGAGTGATGCATTTCCATTGCTGGCCATATTCCATTGTGATCATGTCACCATCGAACGCCATCTTCACGCTATTGGATCCATTGCCGCATTTCCATCGCAGGCATTCCCCTGAATTGTGCAAAGAATAGCGGATCTCTTGATTCTATCGTGACATCGGATGAGAAATGGATTGCATACGACAACTTTACGCGAGAACGACAGTGGCTGAGCGCCGGCGAACGTCCTGTTCCAACCCCAAGGCCCGAAATCCACGTGAAGAAGATCTTATTGTCTGTATGGTGGAACAGCAAGGGTTTGGTGTACTTTGAATTACGGGAACATGGAAAAACGGTCACTTCAACATGTTGCGAAAATCACGCAGCAGAAAATCGAAGAATTTGGATGGGAAGTCCTGCCTCACCCTCACGTTTCAACGATTCCGAGAGGGAGACGAGACTTTGGAAGATTACGAGCACGGTTCGAGGCCAGAAGTCGTGAAAGAAGCCAAGCTAAGGGACGTTATACAGGCCGATCCATGCCAATCTGCTCGAGATCTCGAGCCGCGGTACACCTTGCGAAAGATTCAATTTAAGGTTTTTGAAAGCCGTTTTTAAAGTTATTTAATGAATATGATCATGATTAAGACGAAAAAATGATTAAACAAATTAAAAGGATCAAACAGAAGATCAAATATTACGTAAAAATTCGATTTTCTATTTGAATTTGATTAAACAGCGATTTCCCAACAAAATGTGATTAAAAAGTCGTGCTCAAATGTGCTTTGAAGCAATTGAATTGCTAGATCTAGAACAACTTTACTGTAGTGATTATTGTTGGTTTAGATATAATCTTTATTACAACAATAATAGTTGGTTCAGTGGTTTGTGATTGGAAGAGTAGAGACGACTCCACGGCACACCTCGGCAGCACGTTCACATTGCTTTTATGCAGAACTTTGGCGTTGGTCTCATCTTGCACACAATGGAGTTGAACGGATAGCGTTAAACGACTCCTGGACTTCTGGCCTCGAACCGTGCTCGTAATCTTCCAAAGCCTCGTTCTTCCAAAGCCAAAGCCGATAGGCGTTCGCCCACAATGGTGTCTGGCTGGCCATTTCCATCCGTGGTGATCTCGATCACGAGATCGTCACAACATATACAGTACGATACAGTACAATTATGAAAACTAGCTTTATTTTTAAAGCTCATAGATTGTTTAGTAGTTTGCTTTCAACTGAAAAGGTGTTCTTCTCTTTTCCAGAACTTGAGAAATTTGATTGCTACTTTTTTGTTGCATTTCCTGACCAAATTTACATTCAAATTACTGAAATTCAAGCGTTACAGTATTCTTAAGTTACAAAATTTCCATATTATCATTGATTTACATTCTGGATTTGCTGCTACATTTCTTGGCTCTCCAATTTTGCAATTTTGGTTGCGCCACCTTTCTGTAATCCGTTTTCTAAATCGTGTCCTCTTTCTTTTTCTATCGTAATCTTGTCTTTCTTTTTTATTTAATCTATCTACTTTTTCTGATTCTGTGAAGGTTTACAAAGGGTATCGAAAAATACAAGAAAGTAAATAGATTAGATAAAAATCTGAGGCCAAAATACTTTTCAGTTCTGGTTCTGTTTGACTTGAAGTTTTGTTGTCTGAAAAAACTGTATTGTAAATAAATATCGATTTCCTGAACATATTTCAACTGAATTTGACCTTTTTTCAACAAAATTTCTCACCAAACCCGCAACTATTGACTGATTTGTTATCAGGTTAAACATTGAAAAACTAGGACTTGGACTAGCCCAAGCTAAACTTGACAATTTCCAGTAGTGATCTAAAATTCATTCAGCCCACTTAGCCCAACCAAAATTCGACTAAAAACTTCAAGCCAAAACCTCAGCAAACTCGCCAGTTTCTCATTTTCTCACATCAATATGGCACAAGAGGCTTTAGCCGGATTGATTTTAAGCCTTTGCACGAAATTCTTTAATTAAACTGCTTAGATTTATCTAGTATTATTTTGTGATCAACGATTGAGCTTTTCAAAAAAATTTCCCTCCAAATCCGCAACTATTGACTGATTTGTTATCAGGTTAAACATTGAAAAAGGGTACGAAAAGCAGAATTGTCAAAGG